AAAAAAAAAAAGAAGAAGAAGAAAAGATATACCTGGAAGTAAATTTAACCAAGGAGGTGAAAGAATGCTACAATGAAAACTATAAAACATTTATGAAAAAAATTGAAGAGGACACAAATAAATGGAAATAAATCCCATGTTCTTGGGTAGGAAGAATTAACATCATCAAAATGTCCATAATATGCAAAGAAATCTACACCTTCAATGCAATCTCTATCAAAATTGAAACGACATTCTTAAAAGAAATAGAAAAAAGTAATCTTAAAATTTGTAAGGAACCAAAAGCTAAAGCAATCTTGAACAAAAAGAACAAACTGAAGAAATCATTCTTCCTGACTTCAAAATATACAGTAAAGCTATAGTAAGCAAAACATCATGGTACCAGCATAAAAATAGACAAACAGACGAATGGAAAAGAATAGAGGGCCCAGAAGCAAACCCATGTGCTTACAGCCAACTGATTTTTGACAAAGGTGCCAAGAATATAAATTAAGAAAGGACAGCATCTCCAATTAAAGGTGCTGGGAAAACTGGATATCTACATGCAGAAGATTGAAACTAGATTCTTATCTCTCACCATACACAAAAGTCAACTCAAAGTGGACTAAAGACCTAACTTTAAGACCCAAAACTATGAAACTACTAGAAGACAACGTAAGGGAAACATTACATGAATGGGATTGGTGACAACTTTTTGAATGAGACTACGTAAATGTAAGCAACTAAAGCAAAAATACACAAATGGGACTACATCAAACTGAAAAGGTTCTGTACAGCAGGGGACACTTTCAACAAAGGGAAGAGACAACCTACAGAATGGGAGAAAGTGTTTGCAAACTACACATTAGAAAAGGGGCTAATATTGAGAATATATAAGGAACTTAAACAGCTCAATAGTAAAAAAACAATTACAAACTGGACAGGAGCTTCACGTGCCACTGGCGGTCCTGAGTTAAGTCTCAGAGGTCCCTAATCACAGCCTGAGCAGGAACTGAGTTGAGCAGAGCCTTGCACACCACCAAAGGCCAAGATTTAAGCCCTGGAAGGCCCTGTCCACAGACCAAATAGGAGCTGGGGTGAGTGTAGTCCCATCTGCCTTCAGGGGCCCAGATTTAAGCTCCAGAAAGCCCCACCCACCTACCAAGTAAGAGCCAAGTTGGTCTACCACAGCCAGTACCAAACCTACTGCCACTGCAAGGACAGCTTACTACCAGAGTAGCAGCCAGGGCCACCCTACAGGAAGCCTGCTGCACACTTGGCTTCATTGATTCAAGAAGAGTCACCAGCAGGGCCTGCAAATAGAGGAGGAAATCTTTCTTCTCATAGCCAACTCTAGAGTAATAGAAGAAACAAGTGCTCTATCAGATGACCGAACATCAATGAAAAAATAATAGAACTACAAACAAACAAGAAGATATGACACCTCCGGAGGAATACAGTAATGAGCAAGTACCAGAACCCACAGAGCAGGAAACTCTTGAAATGTCTGAAAAGGATTTCTGAGCAACAATCTTAGGAAGACTCACAGAGAGAAGAGAACATTCAATTAGAGAAAACAATGAAACAAGAAAAAATATCCAGGATATGAAGGAGGAAATTTATGAAGAGATTAATACCTCAAAAAGAATGTAGCAGAGTTCCTAGAACTATAGGACTTACTCAGTAAAAAACAAACAAACAAACAACACAACAGAGAGCTTGAGCAGCAGGATAGAGCAAGCAGAAGAAAGAATTTCTGATCTTGAAGATGGTTTTTTCAAAACCATCAAACAGACAAATAAAAGGGAAAAAAACATATCCAAACTATAGCAAAGAGCTATAGGAAGTGGTTCAGGAAAAGTACTTGGGAGACCTGTGATTACTCAAGGGAAGCAAAAATATGTGTATTGAAATTTCTGATTTTGAAGAGACTAAAGGGGAATGGCAATAAGTGAACACTGAACACAGGGGCATTTGTACATTGAATGAAGTTGGAGTAGAAGCAGTCTTTAGTCACCTCTAACTCTGAGAGTCTATGCATATTATTCTACATATTCAGTGGTAAGTGTCTCCAACATGTAATGTCCAAGAAAAATATAATAACTCTAATGACAGTGAAAGGTGTTTTGATTTTTCCTCCATGTATAATAAAAACTAAAGGAAGCTTTGTTTTTCATAAAAGATTAAAGATGCTTTCAGTTCATCACAACAGAGGCTTTACATGGAAGAGAAATTATTTTTAAACTCAAGAGCACTGACTTATTCTACATTTTGGAAAGCAAATCGGGATGTTAAAGAAACACATATTAAAAGCAGAAGAAAAGGAAGGACTGTAATGATAAAATGTTAAATCATTGGGGTTGGGTGGTTAAATGATGTAAGGTCAATTTCAGTAAGCAATGAGAGTTAACAGTTTACAGACATAGCATTTTTCTATTTCATTTGCCCACATGATCAGCCAGTCCCTATTTTTCCTCAAATGGAATTTTTATGTTGCAGTCTCAGCAAGCTTCAACTCTGGATTAGAGCCAGAAGGATCTTGTCTTTTATGCATTGATTGTGAGCAAGGAAATTGGAGTAGGTGGCGTGTTTAGAGAAGTTGACAGTCTTGCCTGAGCTTAATTCTTGAAATACTTACCCTGGTCTTTTGTGCACAGGTTTCACAAGCAAAAGCTCCATCAATTTATGTTTGGCTAAAACCATTAATTCCTCATATCATGGAATTTTAGGTGAAAAACTTCTTATATAACACCCTGCCAATTTATTCTTTTATTAAGTGAGAAATCCGAGGTCTAGAAACTATATAGTTTCAATTAAAGATGCATAGCTAGTCATCAGTCAAGTCAAAAAAATGAACACAAACACCTAGTTCAGTGATATTTTGATTATATCATGCTGTCTCCTTAAACTGGGTAAAACGAAAAAAAAAAAAAGGAAAGTTTTAACTTATACCATGCTTGTATTGGGATAAAACCAGTAATAAGAATTCCTGAATTCTGGTTCTCTCTTGAGCTGCTTATGACATCATGTCTTTTACAGATTTGTGCAAAGTTAATTTTATAGTATTTTATTTCCCCTACTTGACCATAAATAAAATTTTAATCCTAAGCCATAGTATTGATATCGAAATTAATTAGTATTCACAAAATAGGTTGATGGTAGCACAGTCAAGAAAAATATGAGTCATTACTATCATTGTTTCCTTCATATTTAATGAAGCAAAACAAATGTTTTGAGTATTACAGCAAATGCCTGATTGTTAAATGTGTATCAAAACTTTATTTCTAGCGAGAAGGCCAACATGCTCTTATCAAGATATTTGGATAGGATAACAATATGTAATTTTCACTAGCTTGTTCTTTGGTCCTTTGACTATTATACAGATGAAAAAATATATATCTGTGTTATGAACTAAAGAGGAAAGTGAAATATAACACACAAAATAGTCAGAGCAAGTATATTTATTCAGAGCATGGTCAAAGCAAACTAAAATACATTAGAATATTTACACTGATAATCATGAAGAAACACTTCAAATTCAAAAACAAATGATATGTGAAACAAACGGTAAACATTTGAGATGCCCTGAAATATATTTTTAGGACTGTTTCTCTTTATTTTGACGTACTTTTAAAATATAAAAACAATCTCCATAGTATAGCTTAGAGTTTATAACCAGGAAAAATGTAGTTACAGCCCCAGCTCTCCCACCTACCTGCTCTGTGGTCTTGGAGAAGTTATGTAACTTTTCTAAGCCTTGATTTCTTCATCTGTGCCATCAAGATAATAACCCGATTTCATAAGATCATTATAATGATTAAATAAAATATGACATCAGAAGTGCTTAGCTTAGCCCCATGTCTGGTACATAATTTTAGTGCTCAAAAATATGTCGGTCAGTGTTAGTCATCTATATGTAGTCAAAAATATATATAGTCAAATATACTGGATAGAGTGAACACCTTTATATCAATGAAACACATGCCGTTTTCACAAAAATTATGTTCTCGGAGGAGGACATTATAGAGCTTAATTTAAAAGACTGCAGTTTCAATGAAGATATCTAAAATGTTTACTATCTCTATGGGTTGGCATTGAAACAAAAGGCAGCAGCATTCCTTCTCTGTTCTCCAAGGTCAACTGAAATGAGGACATCACACTGTTCTCATTGAGGCACTGAGCGTATTTTGTGTCTCTAATATAAGATCAGTGATTGCAACTATAACCAGCCCAATAGAGTCCTTATAGTCAAAAGGACTGCATGTAAGCACTTTGGTGGAGTTTCATGGACAACTTTGCTGTGCTTCTGCAACCTTCAGTTGATTCGGGACATGTCAGGATTAGAATCACTGAGGCACATCGGACTGAGTGGATTTTATGATGAGTACAGCTTGAATGCTATAGTGAGAACATCAATCACTCTTCGCATGAGACTCCAATTTTCGGAAATGGAAGGTAGAAAATGAGGTTATTATGAGGAGGAAGGAGACCTGTTTTTATTTTTTTCAGCAAGAGAAACTAATACTGGATTTAAGGAAGAACTTCAGTGCATGAGTAGTTGGATTTTACTTACACTGGAGAATGTGGAATCTCTTTGAAGACAGTATTTAAAATATATTTCAGTCATTTTTAAGTGATCCAGGATTTATTTAAAAACAAATGGATTGACTGGTTTTCTGCCTTTTTTCTTTATTATTGTTTTAATGTTTAGTTCATGATGTTATGAAACACACTAACTTTTTAACTTTGCTTAAAGTTTTATTTTGGCCTCTCAGGATCATTTTTGTTTGTTACATTATTAAATCATACCCATAAATGATTATTTTATTTTAGATTTTAGATTTATTTAGAGGTTCATTTTATAATATTCTGATGTATTTATCAACCCATTTATTAGTGAAACTTTAAGAGTATTAACACTAATAAAGCAGAATATTTTTTGCATATCCTGCAAAAAATGTCAAGGCTTAGTACTCTGTATGTAATTATTAACTAACTTCCTCTGTTTGCTTTATCTGTAGAGATGAATAAAGGCATTTACTTTAGCTACCCATGTCGACGTCACAGCTGTTCTGTAGTAAACATCCCAGCACCATGTGTCAACAAAATGATTTCACACATTCAAGATGTGGAATCTAAAATACACGAGCATTTGAAACGGGTAAGTGACTTATTTAAAATGCTAACATTTTTGTAAGTTCTGTAGACTCTGTAAAGTTCTATTACTTAAAGACTGCAGGGAATTATTTTGATTTCTTAAATGATAATTGGAATACTTCTTAGCTCAGATGCATAATTTACTAGTCTAGACATGTTTTTTATAGTCTCACTGCAGAAGGATGAAACGACCTTATTAAATAGATTTTTTTCCCCTACCTGTTTGTTCTTTATCCACAGGCAATCATGCTAAGTAGTAATTTCCATAAGCCAACTTGACTAGTAAATTAAATAGTATTTACATCCTTTTTTGAGACACTAAACTGATTAGATGATTAGACGAGTAAATTGTTATATAAAAGGACACTATGCCCTTCTTGAGT